TCTCTACTTTTTCAAAAAAGGATATTATTCACCTTCAAAATGACACCACGTGTAATGAGGATAATTCATTACTTCTGGAACTGCCCAGACACGGACCCAGGCTTTGGTTCCTGGCCTGCTCAACACGAGGTTTTTTTAACCTACGTAACTTTACCGAAAAAATCCAAAGAGTATGGATCCTTGCAGTCACGAAAACTTCAAATCTAGAACGAGGTTGAAGATCTGCCATGAGAATAAAAAAAGTTTTAAGAGTCACCTTTTAGGAATGCCGCTGACATGCTTGGGTGATATATGCATGGCACTGCAACTTTGTCACACATTTTCATTTCATTTGTGGTACGTGCATTCCCGTGACATAATCGCAGTTGTAACTTCAGTAAAGTCTCTTGTTCGTACGTTGAGCTGCTTGAGCCAGTTAATTACGTCAGGGGAAGTGGAGTGGCTTTAACGCTGTTATGCCTCCTTCGTATTCTCTTGCGTGACATAACCAGAGTTGCAGATCTTCTTGGTTCTTTCGGTAAAGTCACGTAGAAGGGAAATAATAAAATAATAAAAATAAAACATAATAAAATAATTCTCACGACGTTTCGGCCACAATGCAAGCAGCCGTCCTCGGGTGAAGAACAGGTCAGACGCTGTCTTCCCGACAGACCTGTTCTTCACCCGAGGACGGCTGCTTGCGTTGTGGCCGAAACGTCGTGAGAATGATTTTATTATGTTTTATTTTTATTATTTTATTATTTCCCTTCTACGTGACTTTTCCCGAAAGAACCAAGAAGATGAATCCCTGCAGTCACGAAAGCTTTAAATCGAAATTTTGAGTTGCAGAGTTGTAGATTAAATTAAAAGTATTTTTTTATTTCTTTTATTTAATCGTCGTCATGAACAAAACTTTTTTAAACTACGTTGGTCAGCCCGGGAAATACGGTACACTCGGCCAAATTACGAATCGACAAGGTTTATTAAGCTGTTGTATTCTTTTTATTTTGCATCTCCCCTTAAAGGGAAACTCTGCAAGCCCTATACCCCTCAGTGAGGCCGGTAAGGAGCTGTCGTGTTACATAATGGTATACTGTACAGCGTGTCCCCTGACCTGTTTAGGGAGTTCTAGTTTAGGGAGTCTACGGGGAACGCCGACCCTACATTAAGCGCTGCCCGAAATAAAAAAACAAAAAAAATTAAAAATATTATCGTCTAGTATAGTATTTGTGATTGCTCTTGGCTCTGGTGACCCACGTAGCCGTCTAGCGTTTGCATGGCGTTGTGAAGTTTACTTGCAGTGTGGATAGGCAGCAGCTCATCCGATTTCTGAACAAAGTTGTGGTAAACATTTTTCACCATCTATTTTCGCCATTGCCGGGGGGGGTGGGGGGCCCTGTGTGAACACTGTACCGTGAAGGATACGTGGAAGGAGACCCGTGCTTTGCGTGTGATTTTCACGTGGAAATTAACCGAACATCCAATTGGCAGTCACTTTGCTGAATGAAAGCCCCCACCGACCGTGTCAGTTGTAAGGGTTTTTTACACCATACTTCACGACGCTGTTCACTGGGTTAGTGAAGGGGGGCGGTGAATGGGGGGCACTTAGGATCGGCTTGGTTATCACTGGGTTGGTAATTATCACTCGCTACTGATGTCAGCTGTAGTTGTGAATTGATTATAGCGCGGTGCATGAGGCATGTAATAGGTGTGGAACAATGCATCAATTTGTTGATTAGACATCGATTCTGAAGCTCACAGCACATGCATCTAATCTCGTGTGTGTGTGTGTAAGAAATTAAGTTTATTTTTTAGAATTCGTGAATGCATTTAAATGAGTCGTACCACCTCAGCAGCCTCTAGGAGCACGACCACTGACTGCCGTGTAAAAAAATAGCAATTGTTTATCGAATGCAAAGCGTGACCCTGCGTCACAACGATTCTGAATTGTTGCCAATTTCGGGACACACTGACCCGCTCATTATTTGTTTTACATCTCGTGTTTGAATTGTTTTTATTCCAGAAAAAAATGACTAAATCTTGCACAGCACTGTAATTATTAAATACGAATAGAGCAGTGGAAATGCGTAGGTAGGTGATGGTGTGAGTGAATGGGACTTTGCGGCACCGGTATTGCTGTATTTAATTAAATGTAGGGTAGCGAATGATACAGTTCCCCAAAGCCACGCTCACCCAAGGTCACATTCACCTGAACTGTTTAGTATTTCAGAGTTGTTTTTACAGTGGGGTTTGAGGTATGTATGTACCGTGTGTGCGTGTGCTGAGCGGTAGGGGAGCATTGGTATATTGTTAATGCACTTTGCTACAAACCCGGCAAGCAGAGTTCCATTCCGGCTGATGATCAACACCAGTGAAGAATATCTGAACTGGTCTCCCGTAGGTAGACTGAGCCTTAAATGAGTACCTGGTGCGATGTGTAAATATCACCACTGGGGAGACAAAGGTGGCTGGTGCGTGGTTCTGGCCACCCACCCCCTCGTGTGCCGTCCCATTTAGTGGAGAATCGCAGACAGTTTGTGAAACTCCCTTCCCGTGCCTGTCAAGGAAGTGCCATACCCTGGCTCGCCAGGAGAAGACGGTACAGCAAGTGGGATAATCTCCATCTGTTTGCAATTGGACGAGGAATGATGCCCAATAAGAATTTGTAACCGCGTGTTGCGGACCCAGTGCTGACGCATGGATGCTCAGATTTCCAGGCGGCAATTGGTAAATTGGTATGCAAATAATAAACCTTGTACACATGGTTGGAAAGTCTGCGGTTGGCGAAGGGTTTCTGTATTATAATTTTATGGTGGGTGTGCAGTGTTTGTTGGCAGCATATGTACTGCATCTATGCCTTGTGTGTTTGTAATTTTGTGTATTGCTCAACGTAATAGTTCGAGTAACCGTTCATGAAGTGCCAATGATTAAACCAACTCTGTGCACCAGTCACGTAATATCACAGTTCATTTAAACCATACTGAGTCTCACTGTAAGATAGGGGAATATCACAAACGCTTCAATACAATTTCAGACGCTGTCTTTCTGACAGACCTGTTCTTCACCTGAGGACGGCTGCTTGCGTTGTGGCCGAAACGTCGTGAGAATTATTTTATTATGCTTTATTTTTATTATTTTATTATTTCCATTCTACGTGACTTTACCGAAAGAACCAAGAAGATGAATCCCTGCAGTCACGAAAGCTTTAAATAGAAATGTAATTATTTTATTATGTTTTATTTTTATTATTTTATTATTTCCATTCTACGTGACTTTACCGAAAGAACCAAGAAGATGAATTCTAGGGACATTGGGTCAACGGGCATCTTGAGCACCGACTAACAAGCATAGAGGTGGCGTCCACCTTCATTGGCCACTCTGAGCTAGTGGAGGAAATTCCACCTTCTGTGACACGGCTCAGTATCTATAGGACAACCAGAAAAAAGTAGTCCCCATTTTATTGACATTGGAAGGATGATGGGCTGAATTTGACCCGCTGTCAGGATTTGAATCCATCACCCTGACTACAGCTGATTATTATACTACTTAAAAGCAAAGGTCAACAGGTCATCACAATCAAGATTGTTGGTGCCACTGCACCTCGCGATCACTCCCTTCCTTCTGCCAGATCTTGCAGCTGTTGTTGTCAATACCCAGACCTCTAAGGCTCACTCTTTAATTGTCCCACCATCTGGCTTTAGGCCTTTTGAGTGACTGGGTGACTTGTACATTCTAATGATGTTCTCGAAGGCCTAGAGAGCAAAACATTGGAATAAATATTGTCGAGTTGATGCCTATAACTTGGAAAAAATTGAACGTACATCCTTGTTTTGTTGTCTGCAAAATCTTATGAAACGAGAGTAAACTTTTAGGTGTTTGAACTTTCAGTCTATGGAAGTTGGTATCTGGAGGTTTTTAAGCGTCCTGACTTCAAAGGTAGCTCTCGATTTGTTCCGACAACTTAATATTTATTTTGCTTGTGCTTTAAGTCCGTGACACAAAGCCTGATCGACGACAGGCGAAGGCCAACATCAGTTATATCCAGCACTAACACTTCTACTCTCTGCCTTCGCCAATTCACACGAACCAGCGTGGCGAGGCTGGTTAGTGTGAATTGTCAGACGACACCCACAATCCGCACGTAGCGGCGAGGCAATTATCCAGCAGTGTATTGACAACAATTGCTGGATTTGTATCTCAAGTGATCGAAGGGCTGTACATATCAGTAAAGTATAGGTCAAACAGACTGTTGACACAATTGCTGTTAGCGAGCACCTATTAAGGCCGGCATTGCACACGAGGGGATGGCTAGCACCTTGCCCGGCCACGTTTGTCTCTCCAGTGGTGATGTTTACACATTACACCAGGTGCTCGTTTGAGGCTGAGTCGACCTAGGGGAGGCCCTAGACCAGTTCAGATAATCGTCACCGGTGTTGCCCCTGTGCGGGCATCGAACTCGGGTTACTGGGATTGTAGCGCAGCATGCTAACTGCTGCACTACCGCTCCCCACATATCGGTACAAAAAGACAAAGATCCCCCGTGTAGCCTTGACAGACTTAGGGCAAGTATTGTTAGCGAACACTTATGAAGGCTGGCACAGTACACAAGGGGGTGGGTGGCCAACCCCACGCCCGATCGCCTTTGTCTCCCCAGTGGCAATGTTTACACATTTCACCAGGTGCTCATTTGAGGCCGAGTCGACCTAGGGGAGGCCCTAGACCAGTTCAGATAATCGTCACCGGTGTTGGCCGTGAGCGAGAATCGAATTCTCGTCGGGTTTGTAGCGCAGCGCGCTAATTACTGTGCCACCGCCGCCGCATATCTGTAGAGATACCTGCACACACCCGCACACATGCGCTGCGTTCGTGTGTCACGTAATGATCTGTACGCACGGCCGCGTTGGGGCGTGTTGTACCTGCTTGCTAGGCCCCCCCACACTCCTCCCATGAAAAACACTGGGCTTCAGTGCCAGCACGGCGAGTGCTTGCTTGCCCACCTGCTCCCGCCAAAGTACGGAACGCTCCTCACTCTTGAGTTTCTGTGCCGCCGGTGGTCGTGGTGGTTGTGGCAGGCGGCGTTGGCGGTAGTGGCGTAGCATTCATTCCAGAGTCTCTGTGTGCGTGCGTGTGTGTGTGCGCGTGTGTATTTGAAAGAGAGAGAGAGGGAGAGAGGTCGCACATGCTCACTGCTGTTGCAGTCTACTCGCATAGCAGTCCTTCCTTCAGGAGTGCAACGTAAGTTGTATTTATAATGCCGCGCTTTAATGTTCATTGTGCGATGTTTGTGTGGTGTGCATTAGCTGCCGTGTGTTCTATCAGGTGGAATGTGGTAATACTTGTGTGTTTATGCTGCTTCGTTGAAGTGAATATCTTTCGTGCGAGTGAGATGCACTTATTAGTTAGTATATCCGAGCATGATCAATGAAACAACAGAAATGTAACTTAATATACGTATGAACAGAATTGTATATGCACGCTGCGTACAAGGCACAGAGTTACCTTAGCAGGTTAATTATAGTGCACATATACACTAGTTAGCAGGTTAATTATAAATAATACGAGGTTGTTTTTCTCGAGCCCAAGAGGAAAAAAAGGTCTCAACATTTTGCTAATCCGCGCTTATTTGGAAAACAAAAGTGCGTATGTGTACGCATTCGCACATTTGAAAGTGTGACCTCGGCTGCGATCGAGTCATCTGGAAACCATGAAGGACACGCAGATTGAATCATCCTCGTTAAATGGCAGACCGCACGTAACGTTGCTCCGCTAACGGCCGGATGCCGAGAGCACATTACAGAAAAAATCCCATTGACGCCACGCAAGAGGTCTCGCGCCGGCGTGCGGTTAACGGCCAAGCGCTGAGGGATAGATCATTCGTAGTCGCGTAGAAGGAAAACAAGAAAACAAGAGACGGTGGGGGAAAAAAAAATCCAAAATAAAGTGGTTATTCAAGCATTGCAGACATACCTTTTTTTCTGCGCCCCCCGCCCCCCCCTTGGCTTCCCACCACACAGAAAATAAATAAATAAAGATGCCCGCTTGGAAGGAACACCCTGTTTTCAAAGGGATGGCCAATAAAGGCGTACGAAGGCCAACAAAAGTGCACTTGTAGTCGTGCAACGTAGGGCGCCCCGCCGTCACGCGCAGGAAATTCTCGGCCCGCTCGGTCCTCTTGTTGATGTCATGGCTGGCGGTGAGTACGCGTCCAATGTGCATTAATAGTCGGGAGCAATTTTACGGGCAGATTTGCCCACGTGGGATGTTTAAACAGCTCCCTGAGGGGGGGGTGGGGATGAGGGGGAGCCTGGAGAGCGAGAGAGATGGTGGCAGCTCATTGCAGGAAAGCTACGAGCGGGTGTAGTGGCGCGCGATTGAACAAGTGCTCATTGTCAAGGGCAGGAAAGTTGGCTGGAGAGATTATGTTGACCGAGAATCGATAAGCTCGGGCAGTAGAACAGTAACCAAATAATTTACCCACAATAGTCGAGGCTTGTCAGTCGTGTTTTTTTAAATTCCTATTAATGTTTGTCAAACCCTGTCTTTTTTTAACATTCCTTTTTTGTTTTCAACCAGGCACAGCAGTTGACTTGTTTACGCTGTAATTCATGAAGGACATAAATTAATAGCTTGCCAAAGAACAAAACGTTTTTCTGAAAGTCATTTCATTTTATTTCGACAACTCAATGGTGTACGACCGCACCGATGAAGACACGGACTCGCCTGTCGTCCGTCAATAAGCGGGGGTGACGACAGATGGAGTCGCGGTGGCTGGACCAACAAGCCGTGCCCTACACCCTCAAGATGTCGTCCGTGCAGCGTTTCGGAAATGTCCTCGTGGAGAGAAGCCCCATGGGCCCCGTGCACTACAGCCCTGCTGGCCTACAGGACGTGCAACCGCCCGCCGCCGGCCACCGTCGTTCAAGCACTGAGCCCACAGCTGCCCCGTTGCACAGCTTGCCTCGCTATGGCGAAACGGTGGGGAGGAGGAATGGATTACCGCACCATCGCTCCTGGGCCTCTGCAGACGGCGATCATCACACAGGAACCCAACAACAGTGTCAGCAGCAGCCGCAGCAGAATCTTGATCAGCAGCATCATCAACAACTGCAGCTCTCTCAGCATCACCATGACCATCACGGTCTCCATCATAATAATAATCATCACCATCAACACGTTGGTCCCCATGCAGCGCCACAGAAAAACACCGTCATTAATTTGGCAAGTGGAAAGGCCAAGGAGGTTTCTGGGGATTGGTCCAAGGTGGCCGCGTTGTCTCCGTCCACTGGTAGCGGTTTTGGCGGTGGACCCAGCAGTGGAGGTGGTGGCAGCGGTGGTGGTGGTGGTGGTGGTGGTGGTGGTGGTGGTGGTGGTGGTGGCCACCAGCCAGCATCGGCCACAAATCCGCCGGCTGTAGTGATGCGCAGGGCAGGTGGCCGCAAGGTGAAGGCGGAAACGGGCAGCCAGCGTGAGAGTCAGCTGTTCGCAATGGAACTCGCAGAGCTTATGTCCAGCGCCACGGCAAACTCGGAGACGCGCGATCTCGGCCTCCCCGGCCTCCCGCTGGGCGGTCTCCTGACGCCGGCTGATGTGGAGGGCCTTCTGAAGCGGGCGTACGGACGGGAGGGCATTGAGTCGTGCCTCCACATCCTGTTGCGCTGCTCTGAGGACCTAAAGCAGTGCACCGAGATTATCCGCAGGAGCATCCGGCAGCGGAAGAGTTCGCCCAACGGCGGCGGCGGCGGCACTGACGAAGACGCCGAGAACCAGTACCGGCAGCTCGTGTCGCAGCTGTCGATGCACTTGAGAAAGCTGCCGACCCCGCAGGAGGGCTTGGATGGACCTCGGCAAGAGGCGCTCGCCGACTTCCTGCAGAGCCTCTGTGAGCTGCAGGGGGTGGCAGAGCATGGGGGCGAGCGGCCGCCCCGATACGAGGATGTCGTCGGGCCTGTGATCCCGGACACTGTTGGCGGCGCTAAAGCTGCTGGCCACCTCGAAGGGCTGTTGGATGATGAGCGTGTCGCCGCTGCCAGATTGCCGGTTAGTGACGTCCTCTCGGGTTCGGTGCCCGTGCAAGTTCGGCGGGTCTTACCAGAAGAGGGGGTCGGATGTACGGAGGCCTTGCACATCGTGGAAGAACGAGAAGATGTTGGCGTGAGCCCCAAGTCCTCTCTTCCAACTGCCGCTCAGGGCCAAGGTCTCTTTCTCTCATCAGACAAACAGTTGCAAAGGCCACGATATGTGTATGCACCTTGGGTTTCTAGACAATGGAACTTGGAAGCAGTGGGGTCTCCTTCGCAGGTCATCGGTAAGCAGGGCCTAGTACAGGATTTTTCTAGAGCCGGGCAATTCGCCCGTGATGGCGTGAGTGGGGTGACCCTTCCGGAGTCAGGTGCGGTAGTGGCGCATCGTACGGGCGTGCAGCGTCCTTCAGTGATCGTCAGCCACCGAGGAAACCGTCCGGGAGAGCGGCATGTGGAGACATCCCCAAGCCACGAGGAGGAGATGATGGATCTCGAAAGGTTAATCAATGAGTTGGAGGAATTCTCTCGCAGCGCGGGTTGCGCAGATAACGGCGGCAGCGAGGACACGGCGACGCGGCAACATTCGGCAATGGCACCAAGCGCCTCAACCGGGACGGCGATCTCGACAAGTGGACTCCGCTCCGACAAGGAGGCTGTAAATCGAGAGAATCGGGTTCAACATCGGGTTATTGGACCGGCTCGTTCTCCAGCACCAGATCCTCCGCTCGTTGACGGCGTCAAGCAGTCGTATCGGATCGAATCGCTCGCCAACAGATGGGGCGCCGGGAGACATGGAGCTGATCAGGTGGTGCTCAGTCAGTCGCCGAGGGTGCTGAAGGTATTTCAATCGCGTGCCGTGCGTTAAGTGGTCCGCGAAACACTCCGACACATCTTAATTTGCCTTGTCCTCGGCCTTCATTGCAAGAGGCAGTTGTTCAAGTGAGCTCTCAAGCCCGGTTGTAAATAAAACTTAACGTGTGTATACAAATTGGCCTCAACAGGCTCCACTGAACGTGAGATGTATTTATAATTTCTCATTGTAAATTGTATCTATTTCCTCACCCGGTTGGGTGGCGCAGTGTTCGCAAGCTCACAACTGCAAGTCGTAAAAAGCGTCTGTTTTAAATCCCATTCAGTGACCAAAGTAGCCCATCATTCCTCCAGGGTTCACGAATTTAATATCGCTCGGAGGGAAGTCAACAGTTGTTTCCTATGGAGTGACTCAGCCCCCATCATAGGAATGTGGAATTTACACCACTGAGTCAGGGATATAAACAGTAGCCGAGTACTACCCCACGCTCGCTTGAGCGAGCTGAAGCTTAACGTTTAAAAATGCAGTCTATGATCAAAAATGTATTGGTGCTTTCTTTCCCCCATTAATTTAAACGTTTTTAAATCGCCACCCTTTTAAGTGGCATTCTACAGCTACAAGAATATATCAACTGCACTTCTTCCTCCCTCGCTCGAACCCTGAGCCTGCTCAATGCATGTCTCTTCGAAAGCAGTGTGTTTGATTAACATTTACAAATCTGTCTGTCGCCTCATGAAGCTAGTTGTAATTACTGGTGAAACGTCGTACTCAAATTAGAAACGTTGTGGCTTTGCTCTCCAACACACCGGTGTGCTGTACTAGTAACGAGTTGGCCACGTTCTGTTTACGTGACAAACCTTACTAATTGGCTGTGTCGGGTGGTGGCCAGGTTTAACGACACATTTATATATTTACGCGATCTAACCCAAAAAACTTGTCTTATGGATCGTGTTTTCGGTTTGCACTTGCACACCAATGCCAGTGCAATTCCTTACATTTGACTTGATCTGGTATGCATGCAGTACTTTATGAATGAGTAACTAACCGAGGCATCTTGTGTTTTCCACGGGCTAGAGTAATAAAACTATGTTCTTGTAGAGGGAGGTGTGGTATTCACAATTTAGTCCAGTGGAATTAGGACTTCTCTTTAAGACGTAACCTCTTCTTTGTGGGCATAGAGTGACTGACGGATTTATTGGATATGTTTTTCTGGTGGTCTATAATTCTAAAATATGTATTTTGTGGTGTTTAGTTGCTACTGAGTAAAAAAAACATTGATATTTTAATGTAAGCGTTATCTCGTCTTTATGGTCATGTACACGGTGACCAAACAGGCACTCCTAAATCTTTGCAACAAAATCACAATACCAGGGAGTCTTTTTGCGGTTGTTCGGCTTTTATAAATACGGAAGTGAAAATGAACGGAATGATAAAATGAAAAATGCAAGCCCTGTGAATCCATTATCAGAGCATGCCACACACATTCGGCAGGTCGCGAATTCAACTCTCGCTCCGTAAAACGAGTTCTCACCTGTGGGAAGACATCAGTGGTTTTCCTCTGGTGTGGCTCACTCCGGAGACCGAGATCGCCCCGGCTTAAAGGGCGCTTTTTGAGAAACATCATGATTATGATTGCCTATTCTCGTAAGTGTTAGAATCCGTACCAGCTTTGGAGTAGGTCTCGTCGCTTCGGGTCGTGGACCCAGGGTGCCAGCACAGATCGCGCGGTCTCACAATGCCGAGTAGAATTAACACAATGCATTGTTTTCATTTGCATTGTTCCATTTTTAAATGTTCTCGTAATACTTAAACATAAATTGCATTATGCAATGATGGATATTTTTTCCGCTTGAATAAACCCCCCACTTCGATCCATCACAACTATGGATCTTGTGGACCGATGTTTTCTAACATCGTAGGCTGATGGCTGGGCGGTGCTGGTGGCTATGCATGTGGCCTGTAATCCAGCACTGAAATCGAGGGTCGGCGGATCACCGCACGAATGTTGTGAAACTCCCTTCCCGTGGGTGTTGAGGAGGTGCCATACCTCTTCTTGGTTCTTTCGGTAAAGTCACGTAGAATGGAAATAATAAAATAATACAAATATAACATAATAAAACAATTCTCACGACGTTTCGGCCACAACGCAAGCAGCCGTTGTGGCCGAAACGTCGTGAGAATTGTTTTATTATGTTTTATTTTTATTATTTTATTACTTCCCTTCTACGTGACTTTACCGAAAGAACCAAGAAAATGAATCCCTGCAGTCACGAAAGCTATAAATCGAAAAAAGAGGTGCCATACCGTCGCTCGCCAGGAGGAGGCGGTACAGCAAGTGGACTAATCTCCATCTGTATCCAACTTTACGGGGAAAGATGCCTAATTAGTCTGTTTAAAGATAAGTAAGTCCGTGGTTCTTTATATGAGTTTGTTTTGCTGTCCTCACACCCAGTTTTCCTTCATGATTCAACATGGGCCTTCTCTTGCCTGGTTATAAATGACGGTGATCTAGCCGTGTGGTATTTTTCCCAGTAATAATTTCTCTACTGTTATGTAATGGCAGGCTGGAACGCATACATTCTGACAAAGCCTGCCGTATGTGTGCTAAGTTGTTATTATCACTCTTGCTTGGTGCTCTGTAATCTAATTGCTTTTGCCACTAATCCAGAGTGTCTGCTAATCTGCATGTGCTTGTTGTGATTTATTTAAGATCGCAGTCCAATGACCATTAATATACACACTTTGGGGTTGTTATATTAGTGCCGTACACTTAGACTGTGACACAGTGGTTAGCACGATGCCCTGTGAACCCGGGTACTGGAGTTTGATTCCTGGCCATGGCTAAAATCAGTTCTGAGCCCTCCACGACATCAACTCGCACTCAACCAGCGCAGTGAAATATGGTCAAACAACCTCCGTGACTGACATGGTATGAAGAGGTCTTCTTCCAGCGGTGGTTTGACAAAGGGCTCTAACGTATTATTATTCCGTATCTATGGGACCGGTGGCCGGTTAAAGACAACATTCCTCGTGTTTTTTGTGTTAAGATTATAAGCTACGCTTCAGTGTGGCGTCATGGTCCGCTCGTGACATCACTGTGACATCGCTGCTCTCTAACGTTTAGATTCGGTGTCAATGCAGCCGTGTCAAAACTTGAAAGTCTATTTCTCATTAATGGAATAGCAAAGAGGCTCGACACGTTCGTCACTAATAACACGTGGCAATTAGAAAAAAGAAAAATTATGTCAGAATAGGCGACGTTTCGAGCAATGGCCCTTCTTCACAGCACAGAGAGAGGGCCAGCGGAGTGGACTGGTGCTTGTGCTCCGCTGCCAACGAACGCAGCGTCGCCCAATAATTTGTTTTATACATATGATGGGGTGACGCTCAACACTACCATCTGCTGGCCTTCCCACAGCCATATTGCCTCTACCGCCTGGCACGCTCTGGTGGTTAACCATCCATCTATTAACCAGGTTAAAATCCTGCTCGGATTCCGAGATCCGATTGAGATCGGGTGCATTCGAGGTGAATTGGTCAGAAGAAAAATTGCTGTCGTGCGTAGTATGAGCAACAAGGTAACGGAACAGAATTTGCATGGTGCATGCTTCGAATTGCACAAAGAAACAGGAAGAGAGGAACACCATGGCTCAGAGGGCAAACACAAGTTAGTCATCACATTGATTGTGTAGAAAATTAAGTGGGATTGGGCAGGACACGCCGCTAGAAGGGACAAGCGATGGAGTGGCTGCCAAAGAGAGGAGCGTGTCTAAGAACACGTCCACCGTGGAGTTGGAGTATGTATGTTTGTTAAAGTTATTTTTCACCGTATGTAGCCAACCGTGCTAATCGGAGGTGCGGGGGAAGGACAACAAACTAAACACGAAACATTTTTAATGAAATTCGTTTTTATATCTTCAAGTTCAAGTTTAAGTTCATTTATTAGGTATAGCCCTGTGAGCCATTCGGCTGTTGAATCGGGTGCAACCTGCAACAAACAAAAAACTAAAACATGAACAAAAAACATCTTAAAGTGAATATGTGACTGAGTGCAAACAGAAAATCCAAGAAAAGACAGTAAAACATTGCAGATAAATCACCGTACACACAAAAATGTGCAAAAATCCCAGTGGGATGCAAGTCAAACAACAACAACTACAAGACAACTTAGATTAAGGCCATCAGTCTAACTCTGTACTTACAACAAACAAACATGGCCAAACCAAAAAACGTATCGAAAATCACCAAAATAAAGCCACAAAAGCAAGTGTGCAGGTGCTTGATGATTTGTTGCATTTCAAGGTCATCGGAGACGGTGGCAGCTCGGTGAGGCCTGCATGCAGCAGTGGATAGGCCATTGATAAATACCAACGAGGTTCGCCTTCACAAGGGATCATCAGCAGAAGATACCCAATTACGTGCTGGGTATAATGGTGAATAAAATAACTCGAAGCTATAAATAGGAAAAATCCTTTTTTACTTCCAAAATAAAATAACGCTTAAGTCCCATCAACCGGTGGGCCTACGTGAGCAAGGTACCCAGTTTCAAAATCTTAGGTTTTTTCGGTAAAGTCACGTAGGTAAAAAAATTAAATTAATAAAAGTAAAATAAAAATAAAATATATTATATTATATATTATATATATACTTTTTTTACTTTTATAAATTTTAATTTTTTACCTACGTGACTTTACCGAAAAAACCTAAGAATATGAATCCTTGCAGTCACGAAAGCTTCAAATCTAGAATTACCCAGTTTCAACTTCTTTGATTGTCCACAACAGGCCGTGGCCTGGTAAAGCGTGACGGCAAGAGTACTCGTCTCTGATTAATTAGCGCGGTTGGTTATGTACGGTGCAAAAGAAGTTCAGTATACGTACGTACATACATCATCATCATCAATTTACAATCAGGCAGCCGGAGGAGTCCAGTTTAGGCACAGTCACGAAGCTGTCTTCTCGGGGCCTAAACGTGGCCCCATGGCCTCGTAGTGTCACCAGGAGATACAACAAGATGCTGACCAACCA